AAATATATCTTAGATACTAACCTATATCTTAGATACTAACCCCTTGTCAGTTACATATCATGCAAATATTTTCTCTCATTCAGTAGGATTTTTTTAATACTCCCCAATCCCCTGCTATGAAATTTTTTTTAATTTCAGGTAATCTCAATTGTTTATTCCCTTGCCATATGGGTCAAGTCTCCAAAAACACCTTTATCATTGTATTCATCTGTATATTTTATTGTTGCAGGTCTTAGAGTTAAATCTTTAATCCCTTTGGAATATATTTTTGTGTATGAAGTTAGAGAGTTAATACAACTTCATTTTTTTAGGTGGCTCTTCAGTTTTCACCAGACCATTTATTAAAAAATTGCCCTTTCTCCATTGGATAGTCCTGGCTCCTTTAGTATAGATTAGGTACTGATAGGTATGTGGATTTATTTATTAGCTTTTAATTCTGGCCCGTTGATCCATGTGTCTATTTTTTGCCAATACCATGTATTTTTAGGATTATTGCTTTACAGTAAAGTTGCTGTAGTGATGGAAATATTTTCTAGTCCTGTGCTGTTCAGTGCAGTCACCAGTGGCCACATGTGGCTACTGAACCCTGGAAATGTGACTAAGGTGACTAAGAAACTATTTCAAATTTCATTAATTATATTTTCATCTGTTTAGAGGAGTCAAGTTTAACTAGTACTAGGTATTCGATTTATTTATCACCTTAGGCAGGATAGTGCACTTCTAGAAGAAGACAGAAGAAGTTCTTTGTGATTTTGGCTTAGGGGAAGATTACTTAGGACACAAAATCCAAATCACAAGCCATAAGAGAAAAAGTTTGATAAATAGAACTTCAACAAAATTTACAGACCTCTGTTATTTTGAAAATACTCATATGACAATGCTCAGACAGAGGAAATACTTGCAAAGCATATACAGGCACATGTTGGAGATATTCTAGGTTCGGTTCCAGAGCAGATTCTGATTGAGCCCTGAAGTGGGGCTGGAGACTCCTCATTTCGAATAAGCTCCAAGGCGCTGCTGATGTTATTGGTCCCAGAATCACATGTATTGGCCATAAAAAAAAGAATGCAATCAATGTTTTTTTAATACCTTTGCCGGAGGGGTTTGGTACTGTATCTTTTTCAAGGAGACTGATGAAACAGTACAAGGATGGGGGGGATAAACATTAATAACAAATTGGATAATCTTTCAAGATGAAGTAATTCCCTAAACAAGTCTGGCAAGTAGTAAATTAACCCCGACCGCTCATCGGGTGTTACTGAATACTAGTCACTATACCCTTCTTACCTTCATTTATTCCTCTTGAAGGGGGCAGGAATGGGCACAGTGCAGGTTTTCTCTGATCTGAGCAGATGGTGTTAAAGAGGAGAGAGTCCTGGAGCCCTCGGTGACTTTTCAGGCTTTCTTGGGATTTACCAGGTACACAGCAGGCAGGGGTGCTGGGGGGCTGGGAGGCCCCCCAGCAAGTTTTCACTCTGTCTGGGTTCCCCGGCGTTCTCTGGTGGTCTCTGCTTCTCTGCTCCTCCTGATTCTGCTTCCCTTTTGCTCACGTTCTCTCTGCTGGCGTCCCCGTGACGCCGCCCTTATAAGTTCAGTCTCTCAGCACAGGTGCACCCACTTACGCATGCCCACACGCCACTCCAGGTGCCCGCCATCAGGCATGCATTCAGGACCGCAGATCCATCATCAAGCCTAGTGGCGGGAGGGCAGAAAAGCCTGATGCTTTTTCATTTGCCCTACACCTCTCAACAATTTAGTAAGAATGGCCATTTTCAGTCCCTCCTTAAAGGTCAAATTCTGACACTCTACATGCTAAGAGTGTGGAGACTGGATTCTTGAGTCCTACAGTCATCCACATCACACTTCTATACACAGCCCAGCGATGAGAGTCAAAAATGTTTATCAATTAAATATATAGCAAATATATATATAGCAAATATACAGTGAAAGTGGACAAATTCTTGTTGAATAAAGCGAAAACGACATGGATCTTTTCTGTTTGCTTTTTGAGGGTGTTTTTGCTCCCACCCGTCTAGTGGAGTGTGGTATCAGGATGGCTGAATTGACATTTCATCAGATCGTATGAAACTTGTTGAAGATACTGATGAAAGGTTATTAAAAAATGCTTGAGCTCCTGTACAACAGATACCACATAAAGCTGTTTATGGAGCCAATAGAAGAAGGCAAATATTTTGAAGAGAGGCTAAGGGCAAAATATTAAACATACACCTGATGGCAGAACTTGATTATTCCATCTATGCACAGTCATTCTGACTGAAATTGTTCATTTTTCTCTATAGCTCTCATTGAAGGCCGAGCCAGTCTTCTCAGCACATCATTCATGGGCGGTAGATGAGTGACAATAAGGTAGAGATGGTCAAATTTGGCCCACCAATATGAAGTGATAGAATATTGAACGATTCCACTTTATTTCTTTATTTCTAAGCTTGTAACCATCTCTTGTCTTGTTGGATTTTTCATGTAAAGAGTATATCCTGTCTTTAATTTTTTAAAAAAGAACATGTCCTATCTTTAATTTCAATAACTTAATTTAAATTACAACATACTTAGGAATACTCTCTTTTAATATGTGGGAAATTTATATGAAGATATTTTAACTGCTCTTGAGAGATTTAAGAGGTGACTTGAGGGCCTCCACTGGTGGCGCAGGCTGAGCGCAGCATTGTGAAGCTGTCTGCAGCCACAGCGCTGGTTCGATCCCGGCCGGTGGGCGAGGCAGACCTCTCCTGTCTCGCCCGCTGCTCCCCTCAGCAGTGTATTTCATCAGTCTGCCTGTTCTGTTCCCCACTCTGTCTCTGGTGAATCCTCTCACCCTCCTGCGCATCTGGCCTGTACCCTGGTTCTTGTATAAATAAATAAATAAACCTTAAAAAAAAAATAACAGAGTGGCTTTAAAAAAAATAAAAAATAAAAGGTAACTTGAATAAGTGGAAAGGTATTCACTGGTCTTGAATAGGAAAGTTCAAAATCATAACTTTTTGATTTCTTTTAATTTATAAAATTAATTTGATCCCTTCAAGAATATTAGTAGAATATGGTTCTTAGAAATGGACTTTTTCTACAATTCACTGGGAAGTTCTGAACGGTGAAATATCTTCCAATTAAGTGTGGTAGAATGAGATTCTTTACGTTCCTTTGAAACTTCCCTAAAATGACAGCTAAGGGGGGAAAAAAGATGTGTGAGTTCACTAGGTCAGAGATTCCAAAAATAGGAGATAAAAATAGTAGCAATTTGGGGACAATGTGAAGAGGCTGGAGGAATTAATTTCCAGAGCTGAGAAAGCTGAGTGCCAGTGTCTACAGAAATCCTGCAATGTGGAAGGAGGCTAATTCATTGATTCATGTCACAGTCCCTAGAAAGTTCAGGAATCTGAGGTACCAGGTAACTAGAAAGGGAACAGAAGAAAATAAAATGCAACTCGCAGGTGTGCCCACATGCACACACGATGGTGTTTCAAGATATTAAATGCTGTGTTTTGTTTCTGGTTGTTTCCAACTTTTGCCTTAGGTTCAGAAAGTTGAGAGCAAAATGGCTGACAGATAATTTAAAGAGGGGTGCTGGGCCATCCAAGTGTAGAGCAACGGCCTGGGCTTTGAAGCTAGGAGGTCCAAATCCTAACGCTGCCATTGCAGGCTTGTCACCTTGCAGGGGTTAGTACATCTTCAGTTTCCTTATCTGCAAAATGAAGATAATCGAAGCCCTCACCTCCCGAGGTCATCATGAGGATTCAAGGGTACAACAGTTCATGGGAAGTGTTCAGCAGGATGCCTGGAACTGCAAAACTTCAGTGAAGTTAGCTATTATTATTATTGTCATGCATCATTAGGCCCTCACCCACCTTCAGGCATATAAAATGGAAAACAATCTTCCAGGATAGTTGTCAAAATGCAGGTGTGTTTCCTGCACCCTGGCAGGGCAGCACTTTGCCCTCACCTCAAGATAAAGGGGCAGGACTTTGGTGGACTAGACAGAGAGCTTGTCCTGTGTCTCCAGGAGTCTCCAGGGACTGATATTCAGTATGAATGTGAGCTTGAAGGTGGGATGTGGCTCCATGGGACTGAGGGCAGAGCAAAGAGACGTACAGTTATGTTGGAAATGCCCTCATTTCCAAAGTTGGGGCCGGGGGTAAGAATTCATCCACATTTTTCAGGTCTGTTGTGGCCCAAGGAAGGACAGTTGGCTACCAGTTTTCTTGGAAAAGATTTTGTCATATAGACTTTCTGCCAGGCTAGAGATGGTCTCTGCCAAAAAATGCTCAGACATACCAAGATGCAGAAGCTGGGGCAACTGCAACATTGTTAAAGGGACTGTGGTTAAAAGAATCCCCCCAAACTACATAGGTCTCCCACAAGAATTAGCATTTGGAAGCTGCTGAGACTCTGACCCTTATCCTTAAAGTACCTTGGAGGTCAAGGAGCAGGGTGCACGCACCTCAAGGGAGAGATTTCCTCAAGCATAGGCCCTCCCTACCCAACAAGCTTGAACAATCTTGCACCCAAAGGTAAGTACCTGTAAGTGGGAGAACTCGCACACCCCATGGGATGGACAGAGGCCTGAAAGGAGAGCTGCATCTGCAGAGCAAAGTGGCATGAGTGTTAATATTTAGAACCCCACATAAATGAGGTCAGAAGGCTGAAACACACTCACACAAGCGTGCATATACCAGCAATCTACAGGACCCAGCATGCTTTGCATCTCCCACTGTTTCCCCTCCTGGTGGATCCCAGGAAGCAGTTGGTCCAGAGGTTGGATGGGTGGGGGTGGGGGTGTTAGCCTTGGATGCTGGTGGCTCCCATCAAATTGTACTTGACAGCTTACGCTCTCTTCTGTGTTTCTCCCCCCCCCAAATTAAACCATTTTGTTGTTAAAATGACTTGCTGCTTCTGTTTGAGCTCAGTGATGGAGATTCTTTTTGAGTGAGAACATAAAGTCACTCTTTCAATATATTTTTTTAAAAAATGATTTATTTATTTATGCATACAAGAACTGGGGCACAGGCCAGAGGTGCAGGGGGTAAGAGGATTCACCAGAGACAGAGTGGGGAGCAGAACAGGCAGATTGACCGAAGTACAGTGCTGAGGGGAGCAGAGGGTGAGACAGGAGAGGCCTGCTGCGCCATGTGGGTAGCTCCCTGGCTGGGTGGGGAATCGAACTCATGCTGCAGTGGCTGAGCACAGCTTCATAGGTTGAGTCTTAACCCTTTGTGGCACCAAAGAGACCCAGTATTTTTCTTTTTCTTTCTGGGTTATTTTGCTGAGCATGATCCCTTCCAGCTCCGTCCATGTTGCTGCCAATGGCATGAGTTTATCTTTTTTGATTGCTGAGTAATATTCCATGGTGTACATGCACCACATCTTCAGGGACCAGGAAAAAGAGTAATTATAATAAAGTAAAAATCAAAATCAACAAGCAACTATAAACCAGAGGGGGGGGAAGGATTAGGGTCAAAATAAAGGGGGGTGGCAACTGCATGGGGAATATAACCAAGATGAAAATGCACACATTGTGCAAAGATGAAAGGGGATGTGAAAAATCAAACAAACCGCCGCTCGGGCGCCGTCCTACTCCGGGTGGCCGGCAGGGGCCGCTGCAGCCCGGGCAGGCGGCCCCACGCTCCGCCCCGCGGCCTCTAGCCCCGCCCCCGCGGCCTCTAGCCCCGCCCCCGCGCCCGGCCGCCGCGGTTCCGCCTCCGCAAGGTGCGTGTCTGCCCGCGCGAGCCGGGGTCTCGGCGGCCTTCGCCGCGCTGCCCGGGGTCCCGGCCGCGCGCGCGCTCCCGCGAGGATGCGCGCACCGCGCAGAGCGGACCCTGAGCTCCGGGGCGGGGGCGGGGGCTCGCCCCCGGCGCGCATGCGCGGCCCAGCGGCTCCCCGCGTCCCGGGCGTTCGGGGCCCGCGACCCCGGCGCGGCCCTGACGGGGGCGGGGGCGGGGCTGGCAGGGCCGCGGGCGGGTAGGCCGCTGGGCAGGGGGCGCCCCGAGCCGAGCGCCCCTTCAGGCGGAGGCGGTGGCCCCCGGGCACGGGTGGGGGCCGCGCAGGGCCCGTACCGTGTGCCGCCCCGGGGTGGGGGGGCGGGGGGCGGCCTGAGGGAGGGGACGAGCCTGGGAAGGTGGCGTCTTAGGCGGCCGGAGGCTGAAGCGGCCGGAGCCTGGGCCCGGCCGGTAGGCGGGGAGGCGCGACCTTTGGGTGAGGCAAGGTGAAGGCCCCGCGGCCCGGGGGGGCGGGGGCGGCGGGCGAGCCTGCCCGGTGGACGGTGGGGCCCGCCGCGGGGCGGTTATTTTTTTGAAGATTTATTTATTTATTTGTACCAGAGCTGGGGTACAGGCCAAATGCGCGGGAGGGTGACAGGATCCACTAGAGCCAGAGTGGGGAGCAGAACACTGCTGAGGGGAGCAGCGGGGAGACAGGAGAGGTCTGCCGCGCCCTGTGGGTAGCTCCCTGGCCGGCCGGGGATCAAACTGGGGCTGAGAGGCTGCGGACAGCTTCGTAGTGTGGTGCTCAACCCCTTGCGCCACCAGGGAGGCCCCTGTTTAGATTTTTTAAAAAACAGTAAGTGGGAATGTTTCCTAACACTGAAAAAGCTACACAAGAAGGAAAGAATTTTGTAGAATTTGGATTAAAATGATGACTTCAAATTGTAATATCAGCAACCCTGAAAACAAACATCTCCATCTTCAGGAGAAATAACTGAAGCCATGTATTAAGCACAGATGACAGCACAAGCAATCTCGTGCAGTATTTAGGGAGCTTTTAGTAAAGTTAGGTGGTGCTGGGAGCTTTAGTTTTCAGAACTGTCATCAACATTTGCTACTTGGGGGCCTTCCTGGTGGCCTGTGGGTTGAGTCTCAGCACTAGCACTGCGAAGGCCCTCCTGGGACAGCACCGTGCCCAGAGTTCCAGCCCTGCCACCTGGAGCCAACCCACCTGCCCCGCAGACCTCTTCTCTCTCCCTCCCTCCCTCCCTCTCTCTCTCTCTCTCTCTCTCTCTCTCACACACACACACACACTCACTCACTCCAGTTCTTTCATGCAAAAAAAAAAATGCTAGTTTGGTAATTATCTGTGACAATATCTTAAAGCCTTAAATGGTCTAAGAAAACGCCCCTTGATAATTATTGAAGCTGGGTAATGAAAACAGGATTACACTTTATCTTTGTATTTGTATAAATATTTTGTAATATGTATTTTTGAAATTTTCTGTAAAAAAATCAGTCTAATTTGAGAACATTTTTATCATTTTCATATTTTCCATCACATTTTAGAACATTTCATCATGTAGTGACACTTGTGCAACTGATAAAACTAACAAAAATTAAACAGCGGGTAAGTAGCATCTCTTGTCTCTTACTGAGGTATTCCAGATAATTAGTTTTTCCAAAGAAACTGAAGTTTGTCAGAAGCTTAGCATGCTTACACGGGTTGAAAATCATGCCAACCCATTTGCCCTGTGCCTCTGATACAGCCTGGCCTGAGTGGTGATTTTCTTGAAGGCTGGGCATCACCATAGTGTCAGAGAGCAGCCCCCACCAGAATGGGCCTCCAGGTTGCTGTGTTCCGTTGCTGCCCACCTCCCCATCCCCAGCCAGGGTGTAGGGCGTCTTTTTGGCCCTAGAGCCCTTGGACTCTGACTTGCATTCCCCTTCTAAACAGAACTGACTCCAGGCAGACGGAGGTGCCCCAGGTTGTTCTGGAAACCAGCGCTATACCATTTCCTTAACCTTTCGTCTTCAGTATTCCAAGCTTCTTGTCCAGCCTCTTTGACTACAGCAGAGTTTCCGATGGAAATCTGGCAAAACATTTGCTTCTTGTTTTTAAGTGAGGTTTATTGAAATACAGCTTACATGCTGTAAAATCCATCATTTTTATTATACAGTTGTCTGGAGTTTTGAAAAACTACTACAAAATAAAGACAGAATTTTCCATTGCTTTTTAAACAGTTTCCTGACCCTTCATGTGTGTGTTTGTGTGTGTGTGTTTTAAGCAAGCAACTTCATTTTGAAATAACTTTAGTTCTGCAGAAATGTTGCAAAAATAGTACACACTTCCCATATACTATTTATCTAATTTCCCTTAAGGCTTGCATTTTAGCTGACGGGTGTGGGAGGACCTAAACTAGGATGTGTATATTGATACAGTACTGTTAACTAATTTGCAGGCTAATTTCAGATTTTGCCAATTTCCCTACTAAAATCTCCTTTTAGATTTTTGTTACGTTTTCTCACAATAATCGTCTTGTCTGATGTTGGTATTCTGTGCAATTATGTTCAATAGGAGCTAATTTGAGCTAATGCATTTTGGGGAAAAAAAAACCTACCCACCTGCTCCTCTCATTGTATCCTATCAGTAGGTAGATGAAGTCACTACATCTTATTACTGGTGATGTTAATTAACTTTGGTAACTTGGTTAAGGTAATGTCTGGTAGGTTTTCCCACTGTCATTATTGCATAAAACTAGTAATTCCTGTATCTTTCTTATATTAGCATTTTCTTCTTGTTATTGCCGAGCAGTATTTTATTGTATGGATGAACCACAATTTGTTTACCATTTTAAAACTGATGGTCATTTGGTTTGCTTCAGTTTGGGGGCTGGCACTATCTAATAGGCCTTCATGATTTCCTGTTGAACATAATTCCACAGAGCACCAACATCAGACAAGGCTGTGTGAGCACCGTGAATCGGCATAAAAAATAAAACAACTCCATAGTTAGGTCTGAAGCCAGACAAAAACAAGAACCTTGCTTAACACACACACACACAGTCTCTCTCTCTCTCTCTCCCCTATCCTGGCTAATTTGAAGGCTGCAGCTTCTTCCTGACCAATCGTAGCTCTGATCTCCCTTTTTGGATAAGCTTCATTAAAACATTCAGTAGGCGCGTCCTGTGTTCCTGACAGCATCCAATCCAGAGCAAAGCCCCACTTCCATTACAGTCTCCCACCTCCCCACCACACCCCGGGTCCTGTAAGAAATCCTTCACACTGCTGCTGAGCACCCCGGACCCCCTCCTCGCCTTCCCCCCAGCCTCAGGTGTGTTCCTGGCTTTTGGCTGGAGCTCACGGACAACGGAAACACACATAATGGAAATCCTGGCTTCCACTCTAGGCGCCTTGTATCCTCTATTCATCCCCATCTCTAATTCCTTTTACTGATTTCTTGTGAATTCTTTCATTTTTTTAAACACAAATGCAAACATGTACTGTAGTACATATTGTATCTGCTTGCTTTCTGTTACAAAACATTATTTCCACTTGACTTTTTCCTCTATTATGTTCTGGAAATTGCTGTCAAATCAGAATATTTTTTTCTGGATTTTTCCACATTTGAATCTGAACTTTGGTGTGATTGGGTGAAGAAATCATCTGATTGACACTGACAGGCTGCTGAGCCTCATCTGCCAGCCATTTGTCTTTAACCTCTCTGAATAACCGCTTTGCTGATACCCTCACTTCTGAAGTCAACGAGCCATCTGCTTCTAGATACTGCAGCAAGCAGAAAATCACATTTAATTAGGCTTTGTTCATTTTTTATTATAATAAAATTCACCTGACATCTGGTTTGCTCTCTAACCAATTTTAAGTGCACAGTTCAGGAGTGTTAAGTCCCTACACATTGTTGTGTCCCAGCTTCCAGAACTCCTTTATCTTGCAAGAGACCCTCTCCATCTATTATTTTTAAGTACAGTTTACACGTAGCAGAATGAATCCTTTTTTAGCATAGAGTTCTGTGGGTGTTAAGAGACATATGTTCACCACCACCACAACCAGCATGTAGGATAACTCCCCGCTCCTCCTACACTCTGCCCCTCCTGCCCCTCAGGAATCGTTCTTCCCCATGTTGGCAGCCAATGGTACATGTAAGTGGAATCATACATATATTGTTTTTTTCTTAAAGATTTATTCATGCATACAAGGACTGGGGTACAGGGCAGAGGTGCGGGGGGTGGGAGGGTAAGAAGATTCACCAGAGACAGAGTGGGGAGCAGAACAGGCAGACTGACTGAAATACACTGCTGAGGGGAGCAGTGGGCGAGACAGGAGAGGTCTGCTGCGCCCTGTGGGTAGCTCCCTGGCTGGGGATTGAACTTGTGCTGCAGTGGCTGCTGACAGCTTGATAGTGCTGAGACTTAAACCCCTTGTGCCACCTGGGAGGCCCCATGTGTGCTTTTTTATAGCAGTCTTGTTGCATATTGTGAAAATGCCATTGTTTATTGAACTAGATTTCTGCAGGTGTAATTAAAAATGGCCTATTTAGGGGCCTCCCTGGTGGCCCAAGGGGTTAAGTCACAGCACTATGAAGCTATCCACAGCCACTGCAGCATGAGTTCAATCCCTGGCCAGGGAGCTACCCACATGGCGCAGCAGACCTCTCCTGTCTCACCTGCTGCTCCCCTCAGCAGTGTGTTTCAGTAGATCTACCTGTTCTTTCCCCACTCTGTCTCTGGTGAATCCTCTCATTCCCACACCTCTGGCCTGTACCGCAGTTCTTCTGTGGATAAATAAATCTTAAAAAAAAAAAAAAGGCCCAGTTAGAGGAAGAATTCTAAGATCTGTTATTAAATGTTCCTATTAAGGCATTCATTATAATATATAGATGTCTATACATATATACTAGAAGTATTACTTTTTCTGATTATTTCTCTTTGTTTTTGTGATTTTTCTAAAGTCCAGCTGAAGAATTAGTACTACAAAGAAAACCTGATGAGCCCCCTCCAGGCTGTCCCAAGGAGATTCATTCCCCAGCTGTTCTGTGGACTGAAGTCTCCAGCCTATACGAGAACCAAGATTCACCTAACAATGACTCGTCCAAGTTCAGGTAGGTCTTTCTAAGCACCGTCTCCTCCGGTTACTTTGAAGGACCCGACAGTCCCACGCTTGGAGTGGAATGTCTGCATCGAAGTGGATGTTGGAAGGTTTTAGAGAAAGAGACCCAGGCTGTTCTCTTCTCCTTCAGATCAAGACAGTTCAGAGAAAGTCCATTTCAGGTGTCTTGTTGCTCCTCCTGGGATTAACGTTTTCGCTATTAACATTCAATTTGTCATTTTCACTGTCTGCACAGAAAGCTGCTGGTTGTCCAGCAGGGTCATAGGCGGGCAAATTTTCTACTGGACAGAAAGGATTTGTATCTGCCTGACAACAAGCACAGGTTAACAAGTGGACTCGTAGTCTGTCCAAGTTCAGGTTTCATCTGTTATCCACAAGTAGAACATTCCTATCTCAATTGTGGAGTCTGGCGATGCTATTACCATTCATGTACATGAAAATTATTTACCATCCCCAGACCCACAAAATCACCTTCCAAATAGGAACGGTGGACTTTTGGGTGGCAGGGGAATCCTGAATGGAGTCTACCACCTTTATCTGATGGATGATCCGTGGTGGGCCTGTTCAGAGTGCGTCAATGGGGCACTGAAAGGCCAGGCGGGAACACTTTTTACCTCCTTTTCGATTTCCAGATGCTTTATCTAACACTGCAAGTCTGCTCAGGTGTCATGACCCCTCCTTCCAACCTCGGGAACAGAAAAGAAACTAAAGAATGCATTTCTACTCAGCTGCCACCCCAGTGCTGCCGGCTGTGGTGGGCCGGGGAAGTGTGTGTCTGCCCTCAGCCAAAAGTGGGCATCTGGGTTTGGTGCCTCAAAACATGCTGGTGTGTTAGGAAATGTCTTCTTCAAAAAGATTTTGCACCACATTAACGTTATTTATACCTTATGTCCTGTTTTCAAAAAACAAACTTTGAGTTGACTTTTTGTGATTATACCTACGAGTTGCTTAAAGTCGTACCTGCCTGGCAGAGAAGGGTGTTAGACTCAGCCACTTGCTCTGCTCCGGCCTAAGCTCCGCAAGACTCAGTTCCAAGTGAGAGCCCCGATTCTTGTCCCGGAAGGAGGACACACCCCACCTTGTGATCCACATAAAATGCTCGGCACAGAGCCTGGGACTCGGTGGCCCCTCGCTGCCCCTGTTGGTCTGAGACCAGGCAGGAGGGTGCCTGGAGGTGCAAGACAAAGCTTGGGGTCCCAGAGGACAACCCACAGTCTGCGTGGAGATCACCCACTGTCGTGCTGTTCTGTGTTCAGTTCCCTTCTCTGGCGGCAGTGTCCGAAGTCTGTGGTGACATCTTGTTGGAACCTCTCTTACTGGAGCTGTAAAGGAGAAGGTCCCCACATCACCACTTTTGGGGCGTGTGTTTGTCACGGGGGACGGGTTCTTCCTCCCCCTTAGCAGCGATGAGAAGGGGAGCTAGAATTAGCCAGCTCCCCACGGGAAAGGTGAATGGAGTTAGGGTCTAGGGTCCAGTGACCCTCGGCTCAGTCCTCACACACGTGCATAATTGTTTCCACTTTTACGTAGGAAGACACTGTCGTCTCCTGACAGCCTGGGGAAGCTGTGCACGTCAGGCAGCCGAGGGAACTGGGAGGGCACGGTCATTCATTTGCAGAGACCCCACAGGTCATGCATTTGCAGAGACAAAGGTGGAGCTGGGATTCCAAGCAGCCAGTGCTTTGTGCCCAACCCCCTTCTCCTCTCTTGGAATCTGCACTCACACTGTGTACGCACACGCGGGGGGCGGGGTGGCGTCTACTGGTAAGGGGATGATTTTCATTTGGGTGTCCCATCATTGCAGTCCAGGGCAAATGTCAAAGTACAGACAGTTGCTCTGGGATAGAAATGTTCACATGGTACTCTGGATTGATAGAGATTTTCTTCTCTGTTTAGATATGGCCGATTTTCGAAAGTTTTTTGCGAAAGCAAAGCACATAGTCATCCTGTCAGGGGCTGGCGTTAGTGCTGAAAGTGGGGTTCCGACTTTCAGAGGAGCTGGAGGTTATTGGCGAAAATGGCAAGCTCAGGTTAGTAATGTTTCCAGAACATTCAAAAGCTCTTCTGAATGAAGCCAAGTTTGACTTGGAACCTACGCTGATGCCTGAAACCCAGAGGGGAGGTTTTGAATGAACTGACCCCCTTCATCTTGTCGCTTTGCCTCTGACTAAGCGCTGAGCGGGCTAAGCAAAGCAGCCACTGTCCTTACTCCCGAGATACCCAGAGATACTGCATCTCTTCAGATAACAACTGACTTCTTGTAGTCATTAAAACAGAATCCGAAAACCTTCATTAGCATTATTCATTCACTTTTCTATGGAGGTTTAACATGTGCACAAAATTTCACCAATTTTTTAAAAAAGGTTTATTTATTTATGCATACAAGAGCCGGGGTACAGGCCAGAGGTGTGGGGGGGTGAGAGGATTTACCGAGACAGAGCCGGGAGCACAACAGGCAGACAGAACGGAAGCACTGCTGAGGGGAGCAACGGGCGAGATGGGAGAGGTCTGCCGCGCCATGGGGGATTCTCGCCAGCCGAACCCACACTGCAGAGGCTGCAGACAGCTTCACAGCGCTGCACTCAACAGCCTGCGCCATCAGGGAGGCCCTATCCTTGTTTTTACATTGGGGACATTTAAACCACCTTCTCGGAAGCCCTGGGTAGTCCCAGGATTGGGACACAGGCTGGTGGAAAGGCCCCGGTGTCTGCCAACTGCATGAATCTGCAACCGACATGAACCCACAGTTCATGGGCCGCCCGTGTTCCCAAGCGTGGCACTTCTGGCCCCCCCACCCCGTCTCCTCTTTCACCGCAGGACCTGGCCACTCCTCATGCCTTTGCACGGAACCCGTCCCAGGTGTGGGAGTTCTACCACTACCGGCGGGAGGTCATGCTGACCAAGGACCCCAACCCCGGGCACCTCGCTATCGCTGAGTGCGAGGCCCGGCTGCACAAGCAGGGCCGACGGGTCATGGTCATCACCCAGAATATTGACGAGCTGCACCGAAAGGCTGGCACCAAGAACCTTCTGGAAATCCACGGTAAGGAACCATCAGAGTTTAAAACACATGTCCTGTAATTTCCTACCTTGATCCACTGAATCAAAATCTGCATTTTTGACAAGATGCCCTGGTGTCAGGTGCGCACGATACTGGAAACATCTGCGCATCTCCTTGGGGAGGGGCGTCGTGCTGCCAGACAGCTGCCCAGCAGAGCAGCGGGAAGCGGGGGCTCTGGGGCATCAGCTGCGGCTTTAGCAGGATCAAGCTTAGGAAGCTGCCGCACTTACTTTCCCTCTGTCCCCTGCACATTTCTCCCCACTGGCATCTGCATTTTAGAGTCTACAGCTTCAGTCCCAAGGCGCGCATGTCTAGTTAGGGGATTTCCGTCGGTGACCCTGTGGGAATGTTGCTTGTTCTGTGTGTACAGTGAAGCGTCTGCTTGGGCTTGTGATCACCCTGGTGAGGGAAGCTGGACACTGTTTGCTTGGAGCCCATCTCTTTTGTGTCCCAGGAACGGTCGGTCCCCTGCAAAACTTACAAGTGTCTGGGGCACCTGCCCGTGACGGTTCCGGCTGCTTTCCTCCTGTCTTTTCTCAGTTCTCTCCGGTGTCAGATGGACTGTCATTTGCATCGTATAAGATGTATAAAATGGGGCAAATGCTTACCTTATAGAGTAGTTTCAAGGATTAAATTAGGTGATGTAAACATACTGAGACTTTCTTTGGTTGCTGCAGGTGCTGAGGACTCTCTTCTAATTTAGGTAGAAATAAAAGATCTCCTATCCTTTTATCATAGTGAGGACGCCATCTACTTTAAGAAGCATCATGTTTTTAATGTGACGCTAGCAAAGAAAAAGTCTGCCTAAACTAGGATGTTTTTTTATCCCTTAGACTTGGGATTATATCTTTATAGAAAAGGCTCATTAAAAACATAGATTTTTAGAAACAATCTCACTCTAATGGATTTCAAAAAACCAACATGAGTGAAGTCAAGTGGGTAAGGTATTTCTCACCGGCTAGCTCATCTGAACTCCTTCTGGATGACTTGAGGCACCGTGTTTGTTTCACACAGAATGTCAGGCTCTGTGTCTTTAAAGGGACTAGTGACCCCACATGTCCCAAAAGGGTGCCCCCTGTTATCTCCGGGGTTCCCTTGCAAGCTGTTGACATACATTCTACATGTTAGATTTTGGTCTTTCTTGATCTTAACCAAATGGAAGATATCAATGGAAGGCTCTGGAATAACAACCGGGACTTGTTTCCTTTCAAAGGGCCTGTCAGTGGTCAGCGGTGTGGCAGCAGAAATACCCAAGGGTTGCCTTTGTGCCGTCAGGCTGCTAAGAATAACAAGCAAGTCACCACGTTTGGGTCATCTGTGTTATCCTTCAAGGGACTCTAATGAAGCTTGACAACCTCATAACATTCATCACCTGGCCAGCAACAATTGTAGGACACAAGAGAATTTCAGGGATGTTAAGATGGGGGAAATGCCAACTGAAACTGACAGAATAGAGACATTAACTCAGGAAACTGGAGCGCCCTGGACCAGAGAGGATGTCCTCAGCAGCACCTGCCTCTCTCCTCTCAGCTCTGTTTATTCTGTGCTAACCTCACTGCTCCCTGTGGATCTGCCTCCAGCTTAGGTAGCATTTGGCAGCTCCAGGCTCTTATCTCCCTCCTCAGAAAATGAAATCTCTAGATGGCCTTGCTTGGGTCACGTACCTCCCTTTTGACAACATACTTCTAGAGGGATAGAGTGCGATGATTAGACCATTCTGGAACTTGTGCTCAGGCCTGTGTTTTGGGATGTGATTGACAGCTCCATCAGGTTGGCATGGGGTGGAGGATAGGCTCCCTGAAGAATGCTGGACAGGATGGAGCATGTGCGCCAGCACAGCGCCAGGCATGTGGTAAAGGTAGCTGGGGTCATTGCTGGTTAGCCCAGTACATGGTTGCTAGTTTTAACAATTATTTTCTTCATTTATTTGTTGACTGTTTATTCATTGCTGCTTTTGGATGAAAGATTCCAGCTGTGTTAAGTGAAAATTGAGACTTTATAAATTGAGATGTAAACATCACAAGCTATTGGACCTTTATCAGTCATCTACCTAGGAAAGCGCTGTAGGGGCAGGATGGGCCAGAGCAGGGTCTGTGTGACCCGAGCAGACGGTTAAAGGAGGAGTCCTGGAGCCCTCGGTGGCTTTTCCGGCTTTTACTGTCATTTGACCAAGTACACGGCAGGTAGGGGAGCCAGGGGGCCGGGAGGTTGGCAGGCCTCCCAGCCCCCGGCGAATCTTCACGCTGCCTTCCTGGGCTCTCCGGCCTTCTGTCATGGTCTCATTCTCTCTCTTCCGCTTCTCTTTCATCCTGGTTCTCTTCTTGCTGCTTCCGTTTCCGTGACACCACCCTTATAAGCCCCGTCTCAGCCCAGGTGTACCCACCTCGTATGCCCACACCCCAGTCCAGGCGCCCGCCATCAGGCATGCGTTCAGGACTGCAGGATCATCATCCACGCTAATGGCGGGAGGGTGGAAAAGCCTGACAATCATTTACCCTACAAGTATGCCCTCGGTTTAAGTTGGCTTCTTTTACCCACTGGCCACTTCAGTTCCCCCTGGACACCCCTCCACGGCAATCGGCGAGTTCCTTAGACAGGTAATGGGCTGCAGTGTATGTGCTGAGGGTCGTGTAGTGCTGTCTCTCCGGATGGAAAGTCATGGGGCACCTGCCCTTAGCTGTCCTGAGGGTCGGCCCATTTGCTTAAGTGAATATGTTAAAGCTAAACTATTTTGTGCTTTTTAAACATGAAGGTGATTATTCTACCATGCTAAATTCTGGTCTTGCTTAACTTGTGTTTTTCAGGTAGCTTATTTAAAACTCGATGCACCTCTTGTGGAACTGTGGCTCAGAATTACAAGAGTCCAATTTGTCCAGCTTTAGCAGGAAAGGGGTAATTACACAGCACTACAGAATAAGTCCATGTCATTTTCTCTTTGAAGTTGAACATTGATGGTGAGGAAATCAGACATTAATATAAGATTCCCGTGGCATTTATGAGAAATAAGATTAGACCTGGTACAACCACGTGATAAAAGACATTCTTGTTCACAATTTACAATGTTAGTTTAAAACCACAGGATCTAACTATGCAATATGATCCCAACTTTGTAGCTTTGTATTCACACACACACACACCAGGTTCATATACATGAAAAGAGCGTGCAATAAAGAGTTTATGTGGGCCTCCCTGGTGGCGCAAGGGGTTAAGCACCATACTATGAAGCTAACTGCAGCCTCTGCAGCACGAGTTCAACCCCCGGCAAGCCAGGGAGCTACCCACATGCACGGCAGACCTCTCCTGTCTCACCCCCTGCTCCCCTCAGCAGTGTATTTCAGTAGTTCTGCCTGTTCTGTTCCCCACTCTGTCTCTGATGAATCCCCTCACCCCCTGCATCTCTGGCCTGTAGCCCAGCTCTTGTATGCATAAATAAATCTTTAAAAAAAAAGTTAATAGTGATAACAGTGATTACTGGAAGTGGCAGAATAATGAGTAATTTTGATTTTTTCTTTATATCTTAATGAATTTTCAACCTTCATAAGGAGCTTTGTACCTTATTCTGCCAGGACAATATGCAAACTTATTGGGTTATATTGGTTTTTTTTGTGTTCTAATTACACTGATGACTTTCTTTTCTAATGTTACTTACTTCAGTGCTCCAGAACCTGAAGCTCAAGATGCTGGAATTCCAGTTGAGAAACTTCCCCGGTGGGTAAAATACTTTGATCTGTATTTGGTGTTCCAGATTGCAAAAAAGAAAGAAAGAAAGAAAGGAAATTAGGAATCAGAATTTAAATTATTTGATGAGATGCCTCTTAATAAATGTGCAGATGCAAAAAGCACCTCTGATGTATGAGGCCCAGGGCCAAACTGGGTTGAGGGAACTGCTTCTTTCCAGCCTCATCTGTGCATCTGTTCTGCTGGGATCATTTGTGAGCAGGAAGGGTTCTGTGGGCAGGTAGGGTTCTGGAGTTGTGCTGAGGAGCTTATCCAGCATGCATAAAGCACAGAGATTCGCACCCTGTAACGGCCCAGGATAGCTGCTGGCATTTTCTCTTCCTCCTACTCATCAGCGTTATTAATCCAGGGCTATGGGGACAGTAAAAGGTCTTGCAAAGGTGAAATTATAGGACCAGACAGAACTTTTGGAAACAAAAAAAAAAAAAAGAAAGATTTTTGCATCACTTTTTCAAAACCAGGTATTATAGCCCTGCTTTCAAAAGCATTTCATAGAGCACTAGTTCCATGTGATGGGGATGGGGATTACCTTGAAAAAAGATGTTATATGCTCAAATAAATATGGATACTCTAATAAATTTAAAGTATATTTGCTTTACTGCAGGACTTCGCAGAGCAGTTACTATACTAAAGTATATTGCTACTCTGTACAAAGTTATGTTACTATTTCACTGGCCTATTCAACCATGGAAATTTTTATTTTTCTTAATAAGGGTTTTCTGAAATTTTGATATGAAAGAATAGTATCTGGCGTGGGGAGGTGCCTGAATAGAGATTAATACAATGAAATTGCTTGGGGAGATAATTTTACAAGGTGTATAAGAGAGGACTCAGAGGTAGCAGAGTGAAAGCTGGCAAAATTTTTGTAATGGGCCCTGGACAACGTGGCTGTAGACATAACAAGCGAAGGTGAATCTGAGAGGAAATGAAGACTCTGAATTAATGACATTAGGGGATACTGATGTTTAAGGAAAATCCAGGCCCAGTGTTCTTTCCAGGTCTGGGAAACTGAGCGCAGTCCTTTATGCCCATGAGCATAAAGGAGTGACTGGGAAAGAGAAAGCTGTTTAGAAAGAGATTGCGCTTGGCTGAAGCATGTTTGTCAACAAATCAACCCAGCATATCCAGGCAAAATAAAAAATGTTACAAGGACAGTAAAAGCAGGGCTTCCTCTTTAGGACAAGCTCCAGTGGGCTGGGAGGGAAAGAATACAGGATAAGAGGGATCAGAGGTGACTGGATTTGGGGCGGCCTCAGGCCTTCTCTGCCCTGCCTGCAGACCTGGCAGGGTGGGCTCAGGGCTGGGTTACCTGTAACAGTTAATGTTCTCACAGGTGTGAAGAGGCAGGCTGCGGGGGCCTGCTGCGACCTCATGTAGTGTGGTTCGGAGAAAACCTGGACCCTGATGTTCTGGAGGCGGTTGACAGAGAGCTGGCCCTCTGTGACCTGTGTCTGGTGGTAGGTCCCACTCTGCCCCCCAACTCGGGGTGTTCTGAAACGCTAGCACTGGGCTGGATTGTGGTTTCTTTCCTGCCTCCTCCCTCCCCCATTTTCCTGCTTTCCTATTCCCTCCTCTCTCTTCTCCTACTGCTCCCCTCAACTCCTCTCCACTTTTTCCTCCTTCCCTCCCTCCCCGTCTTCCATTGAGAGGGCTTGTGGTGTCCTATAGAAACACTAAAAGCAATGAATTAATCTGAACATATAAAACCCTGCCAGACGGCGCCTCCCTGATGGCACAAGGGATTAAGATGCAGCACTATGAAGCTATCTGCAGCCACTGCAGCACGAGTTCCATCCTCACCCAGGGAGCTACCCACATGACACGGCCGACCTCTCCTGTCTCGCCCGCTGCTCCCCTCAGCAGTGTGTTTCAGTCAGTCTGCCTGTTCTGTTCCCCACTCTGTCTCTGGTGACTCCTCTCACCCTCCCCCTACATCTGGCCTATACCCCGGGTTCTTGTATGCACTAATAAACAAACAAACAAACAAACATTTCTTCTCCTGATAGTGTGGTCATTTGTCCCTTTCTGTTTGCTTGCTTTGCAGGTGGGCACCTCCTCTGTGGTTTATCCTGCTGCCATGTTTGCCCCCCAGGTGTCGGCCAGAGGAGTCCCAGTGGCGGAATTTAACATGGAAATGACCCCAGCCACGAACAGATTCAGGTAATGGGATAATCAGGGTGGGAGATGGAAGGGGGTGAGCAGGTATGACACGGTTATCAGACACGCTTACCTACTCTGATTGAAAAAAAAGATTTTTCTGGGTTTTTAATTTGTTCTGTAGTTGCGTTTGTGGAAGAACATCCTATCATTAACTTTAGACTAAGGTGGCTTTTTACAGGGGATTGGCCATAGGACTTTTTGGTGTTTTAGATTCTGCAAGTTCTTCTTTGATTCCATAGACTTTGCTTCCTAAGCCCAAGAGATCCCCAGCCAGAACTTCCTCACTTGCCAGTCTCAGTGTGAGGCCTGGCCCTCATGACACTAAAAAGCTTCCCAGGTGGCTCCTAGAGCAGCGGGGGTGAGGAGCACTGCTCTGAGTCTTCATTGGGATAAAAGCGTGGCACACACTCTGCAGAAGCACTTACCCACCATCCTTTTCAGCTGAGCTCGCTGGCTCTTGTCTTAGTTGTGTCAGTGGTGGGTGGGGACTAGGAAAACGTCCTTTCAAAAATTTGCCTCCTCTGTAAAACTTATACTCTGAAAACTACACAATGTTGTTGAAAGGAATAAAGAAGACCTAAATATATGGAAGGACATCAGGCGTGCATGGATTGGACAACTTAGTATCATTTCGGTGGCAACAGTCCCCACGTTGATAGAGTCACACAGGCTCTATCAAAACTGCAGCTGGCTTCTTTGTTGAAATGGACAAGGCCCCGCTGAAAGGCATATGAAAATGAATGAACAGACAAAGCAGAAAGAAGAACAGAGCTGGGAAACTTAACGCTTCTCAATTTCAGAGCTTAGTACAAAGTTACAGTAACTTCAACAGCGTGGAACTGTCACAAGCAGGCACATATAGGTTATAGAATCAAATTTAAATTCCAGAAGGAAACCCTCACATTTCTGGTCGGTTGACACCAAGATGACCCAGTGAGGGAAATCAGAATCTTTGCAGCAGCAGTGCCGAGACAGCCGGAGGGGCACATGTAAAAGAACGAAGCCGAACCCTTCGTGGTGTCCCGTACAAAAATGAACATAAAATGCTTCATGGACCTAAATGTAAGAGCTACAACTACACAATTTTCATACCATCAGAGTCAATGTTTATGACTTTGGATTAGTTAAAAGCCCTCCTCTATCAAAGGCACAAGTAACAGAAAAACAAATAGGTTGGAATTCATCAAAATGTAAAACTTTTATACTTAGAGACCAAAATAAGGAAGGAGAAAGACAACACACAGAGTAGCAGAAGATATCTGCAAGTCTAGTATTTGATAAGGGACTTATATCTAGAATCTGTGAAGAATTTTCACAACGCAATAATAAAAAGACAACTCAATTTAAAAAATGTGCCAACCCCTCAAATACACATTTCTCCAAATAGATGTGCATTTGCAATACAAGCACATGGAAAACATTTTCATCCTTAATCACTAAGGAAATGTACATCAAAACCACACAAGATGCCATTTCATAACCACTAGCCTGGCTGCAGTAATAATAAAAAAAAGAACAACAGGAAACAAGAGCTGGTGTAGAAACCGGCCCCCTCCACATGGCTGGTAGAAAAGCAGAGGTGCCGCTGCTGTGGAAGCAGCCTGCAGTTCCTCAAATGGTTCAATACAGAGTTACCTTACAAACCAGCAGTTCCCTCCTCAGCATGCGTGTCACCAAGAGAGATGCAAATGTGTCCATGGATGTTCACAGAGCATATATCATATATACCATCATCATAAAAAAGTAAAAACAGCACAAATGTCCATCAATTGATGATGAATCAACAAAATTTGGTTTATTCTTACAATGGAGCATTACTCAGCCAGGAAGAGATAAGGTTACTGATGCGTGCTGAGCGTGGGCGGCCCTTGGAAACAGTGCAGGGACACCCAGACCAACCAGGCAACTCTATAGAGACTGCGGATGGGTTAGTGGTTGTCTAGTGCTGGAGCCGGGAGGACGAGGAAGTGACTGCTGATGGGTATAAATGTCCTTGTGGGTGCTGAAAATGTTTATTGCAGTGGTTGTACAACTCTGCAAATAAACTAAAAATACCATTACATGATATTACATCTTAAGTGAGTAAATTATGTGCATTATAACTCAATAAAACTTATTAACAATTAAATTGTTTTATAACTTACTGAATAATGAACATTACGCCTCTCATATGTGTTGTGGCTCATGTGTATAGTTGCTGATTTAGCATCATCGAAAGTAAGGTCAGGGGCCTCCCTGGTGGTGCAAGGGGTTAAGCACCACACTTTGAAGCAATCTGCAGGCACTACAGCAAGAGTTCGATCCCCAGCCGGCCAGGGAGCAACCCACATGGCACAGCAGACCTCTCCTGACTCCCTTGCTGCTCCCCTCAGCGTGTATTTCAGTCAGTCTGCCTGTTCTGTTCCCCACTCTGTCTCTGGGGAGTCCTCTCACCCGCTGCATCTCTGGCCTGTACCCCAGCTCTTGTATGCATACATAAATAAATTTAAAAAAAAAAAAAAAAAAGGAAGGTCAGAGCCAGATAACTGAAGCCGCCTGTCTGCTGGAATCCCCAGGAGTATTATGGACTTTCTAGAAAAGGCAATAAGCTCCATCCATTTCCTTTCTTCTCCTAATGTGGTTTATTTTTAGACATTTGATTTCCAGTTTATCTCTAATGAGTATGAAGAATTAAAAGTTTGTCATTTTAAACAAATAAAAAAATACACATAGGGAAAATGAAGACTATAAAAACGCGAGTGTTTCTACACCCTAGGATCACAGTTGCACCCCCTCCTCTCATGCCCTGCGCTGACCAGCAGGAGCTGCATCTGTCGTGTCTGGGGCTGGTCATGTCTTCGTGTGAAAGGAAGTTAAACTGGGTTGTTTTTCCTGTTAAGTCGAAGAGATTTGCGGTATGTGATGTGTGTCATTACCCAAGCGGAGCCTCTGAAGCCAGGACCGGCGTCAGCTGCTACTCTTTCAACCGCAGCTCCTCAGCCTCACGTCCCGAAAGCCTGTGATGTCCCCGGCCAGACAGACGACTTGCCAGCCAGCAGCTCTGATCCACGGACAGGCTGTCGATGGCTGCCTCTGGGAGCAGCCGAGGCTGTGTGATCACTGCATCTAGGACTTTCACTGAGCAGCAAAGCCAGCAATGCTGTTCTCTCGGCGTCCTCAGAGCTGACACTTGGGACAGAGTGCTGCTCATCTCGACAGTTTTTCAAGTGGCGTGGCTCATTTCCACACACAGCTTAACAGCGGTGGAATTCTCTTGCGTCTCACGCAGAACAGATCTTGACTGAACTGCAGTCTTATCTAGTTCGGGCGTCGGCAAACTACGTCCTGTAGGCCGAATTCAACCACCATCTGTATTTGTAAATAATGCTGGATGGGCGCTCAGCCACGAGCGTGTGTTTATGTTTTGTCTGCGGCTGCTTTTGCACAACAGAGAGGAGTATGTGCAACAGACACCATCTGGCCTGCAGAGCCTTAAAATACTTACTCTCTGACTCTTTACAGGAAAAGTTTGCTAACCCCTGCCCTAGTTAATAAGAAAACACAAAAATTTGATTCATTTTTCCTGTTACTTGTAACCTGATCTTCTTTATTTCCTAAAAAGGTAACAGGAATGCTGGCTGCATTTTAAACTTGCATCTCACAAGACTCCTCAGACATCACACACGTTGTTTAGATTCTTTGCTCCAATTCTAATTTAGAGGGTCCAGAAAGGTAGTCTAAGGTAAAAGTAACTAGTGTGGGGAAGAACGGGTCCCCAAAGAAAGCTGTCCACCAGTGGAGTTTAGAAATCTAGGGAATTCTTAGCTAGAAATTTTGATTATATCTCTACTCACCAAGGGGGTGAAGAGGTTACTTCTTTTAAGTTAGAATTGTCCACGTTGGCTGGGGTGGCCCACGTCCCTGGCTGGCCTGTCAAGGGAAGGTGGCTGGCCCCCTAGTTGGTCTATCAATCGTAAAAGTCACTTAAAGCAAAAAAAATAAAACAGGTACATGTGTCCTGAACTCTTTTATTCTCATTTATAGCAGAAATGTACATTCACTGTTTTGGTTTTAGTTTTTCATGTAGAGCTGACGCCCTCGAGTAGGCATCTGCTGATTGGAACTCACCTTCTGTTTCCCTTGTTTGACTCAGAGTTCCTGGAGTTGTCAAATTTCCTGATTTATAAAGTCTCCCGGCCCTTATTTTATAAAACAAAACAGACAACTAAGAAAATGAAATCCTCGGGCCCCAGTCTAGACTTCTAGAATCAGAATTCCCAGGGCAAGAGGCGTGTTTATTTGGAGATTTTACAAGTGACTGACCCAGATGGTTCTTATCATCAGGAAATTTGGGGAAACACTGGATTACAGCCTCTGGTTTTGATATTTTTCTGGTTTTCTTTCTTTTTTTTTTTTTTAAAGGTTTATTTTTACTTATTTATGCATACAAGAACTGGGGTGTAGGCCAGAGGGGTGGGGGTAGAGGATTCACCAGAGACAGAGTGGGGAACAGAACAGGCAGACTGACTGAAATCCACTGCTGAGGGGAGCAGCGGGCAAGTCAGGAGAGGTCTGCTGTGCCATGTGGGTTGTCCCTGGCTGGCCGGGAATCAAACTTGTGCTGCAGTGGCTGTGGACTGCTTCATAGGTTGCATCTTAACCCTTGTGCCACCAGAGAGGCCCAGTTCATGAGTTTAGAGAACAAAATCCCCTCAGTACTTGAAACAGCAGTAATCACTTGAAGAAGTACGTTTTACAAGACTTCACAGCTTTTCTAGAAAAAAGCAGTTTCCTATTAACATTGCAGCTGGCTCTATGTCTCTTATTCCAGTCTGAGGGATGACAGGGCAGAATTTTACAGGCCAACCTACATTTCACCTTCTTAATCTCAATTGTAATTCTTGGTTTGTGCTTCTAGTAGCTGTACGTACCAAGAAACCAGGAGCATATAAATCTGGGGCTGAAAGGAATTTTTTACAACACTGTCACTCAGATATTGGACCTCCCTCCAAATTATAAGCTAAAATTACATCCTAACTTTGGATCCCATTTAGTTATCTGTGGATTGACAATTCTATCCGACCCTCTTCCAGTTTTACTGAAAGCAAGAATGAACGCGCCTCCTTGCGTGGGCTCATTACTGAGTCTTCCCAAACCATTTGTTTCCTCAGAGCTACATGAATATTTCAAACGTCCCTTTTATTTGCCACCTCATACATTTTCAAATTCTGGAATAAGGCACCATTGTAAGGTTGAAACAGGTGAGAGGAACAGCTCGCTTTTGTTAATGTGGAGGAGGGCGAATGTAGGTCTGTGCCCTTGAAACTCACTCTTAGAAATGAGAACACGTGGGATCGAGGAGAACGTGCAGGTTCTCGAAAGCTCTGCTTGCCTGGCTGTAATTCTGGAAGGTCCTCAAGGCACCGTAACCACTGCTGGGGTGCAGGGCTTTTGAATGGCCAGTGGCCAGCATGCTCCAGGTGGCACGAGGCGTGGCAACACCATTTGTCAGGGCTGTCCATTCATGGCCCTCTCTGTCCAGAGAGCACAGCATTGAAGGCCACTGTGTTGCATCAAGAATGATATGAGTGGCCCTCCCCGGTGGCGCAGCGGTTGTGCGCTGGGCTGCGAAGCTGCCCGCAGCCTCTGCAGCACCGGTTCGATCCCCGGCTGCTCCCCGGCCACGGAGGAGGGTCCCACATGGCACGCAGACCTCTCCTGCCGCCCGCTGCTCCCCTCAGCAGTGTACTTCGACCCTTCTGCCTGCTCTGTTCCCCGCTCTGGCTCTGGTGAATTCTCTCACCCTCCTGTGCTTCTGACTGTACCCAGTGCTTGCATAAATAAATAAATAAATAAATCTTTAAAAAAAAAAAGAATGATATGAGTGATAAATTATATTGAGCCGATGTTTTTTTCTATTTTTGAATGTGCTCAGTTGGTTTTCTTATTTGTTAATAAGAAATAATACAGTAGAAAATTCTGCTCTTGTTCTGTAGTTAGAGTTTTTTATTTAACCACTTCCATCCCAAGTGTTTTTCCTTGAAGGAAGCAGAAATCATTGATTTTACTTCTTTTTCCTCCATCTTTGTTCTTTTGCCTTCTCCTTTCTGCCTGTAAGTCATGGCTAGTCATGAAGTCATTGGATGGTGTGAGAGGCCTATTATTGGCTTATGGCCTACATGGTGCACAAGCTAATTTTCTCTTGTCCTTTGTACATATGAATGTTGTTTTTATGTAATATATTGGTTGTTTAAAACTTGCAATTTCCAAAAAAACCCCTTGCAATTGCAATTAATACATTAGTGACCCAATCACAAAATATACTTTATCATCATGTCTCCCCCACCCCTGGCAGTAAAATTCTTATTTACAGCACATAAATTCTAGGCCATTCTTCCCTAAGCTCCCTTGCACAGACCCAACCAACAGCGAGGTGTCTTGAGTTGGCAGAAACTCACTGAAAGAACCGGGCGCAAAAAATCAAAATACCGTTCTTGGTGAGAATCTGGATTTGGCTCTGCGAGAACTAAGCAATGTACGTCCTGCTGACGGAGTCTCGCACTTTACCCAGAACTGCTGTCTTGTCGTCCTCTTTCAGGTTTCATTTCCAGGGGCCCTGCGGCACGACGCTTCCAGAAGCCCTGGCTCCTCACGAATCTGAAACCATTTCTTAACCGCCCGGCAAAGGAAGACATGACAGCAGGTCCACGTCCTGGGTCACGGGGAAACAGCCTCGCGGCGGGTGAGCTGGACGCTGGAAGACCCAAGAACGCCCTGAGTCTCCGGCGGCAATTCTCACCTCGTGATGGTGATGAGGGCTTATGAGGAACCACGCGAACATGGCGGCGCCGCGCAGCCGGCACCCCCCCACCCCGCCCAGGCCGTTACCTTCTCTCTCAGGCCTGTGGTGCCTTCGCGTTCGCCGCTGCTCGTCGCCGCTGCTCGTCGTCACCGCTCTCCGCCGCTCTCTGTCGCGCTCTTCCGTCTACGGCACCGCACCACACTGCACTGCGCCACGCCACGCCACGCACGCCACACCACGCACGCACGCACAAGGCGCCAGGCCAGTAGGCCGAGTGCGCATGCGCAGTGGCAGGGCGGACCCGTCCGAAAACCATCTCCCCGACATCCTGGAAGGGCGGGTCGGAGAGCTGCGGGGCGCATGCGGACTGTTTGCTATGACCATAAACCTCAGGCACCTCTGAGGGTTGATTACTGGGAGGGAAAATTTTTTCGTCGTTAGGTTAGCTAAAAATGTGATGATTCTGATTGTGTATTTACTTTTTGGGCAATAAAAAGGAGATTTTGGTCAACCCCTGACGTCTCTGATTTTGGCACAAGTTTCAGTGGAAAATAAAGTCATTCTCTATGGCAGGCGATTTATTACAGGGGCCTTTCCGGCCTTCTTTGCCTGACTTGCGTCAGAGGGGGTGGCTCACACCAGGCCCGGAGGGAAGAGGAAAAGGCCACAAGAGAAACTGAGATGAGGAAGAAGAGTGATGCAAGTACATGGACCCCACGGACAAGTGCAGCTGCCTGAAATGCAGCCCTGAGCCCGCAGCCGCAGAAGAGAGGGAGAGGTGACTGCTTCCTTCTCAGCGTCACCAACACAGGACATACAGTCCTTCTGGGTCAGCCGAGTGTTCCCAGGCCTTGAACCCTGAAGGGAGCTTTTCCCGGGGGATTTTAAAACGTGTGCTCAAGTTACCTTGAAGCTTGGAAATAGGGGAGCGCTACAGGTCTCCCCTCACGGCCTGCTACAGCACCCCGTATCCTTGGAACGTCTGCTGCCCTAGTGCATCAAAGGCTGGGAGGGAGGGGCGGCCTTCAGTAAAATGCTGAGAAGGTCGGTCATAGGAATGGCCCCTGCATGTCATGTCACACCCTTAGCTTTTGTAGGAATAGACAAGACATAGACACATAAGACTTCGTACTCTATTTGCAAATCATACTTTTTAATAAATCCCAAAGATGCTTTGCAAGCGCAAGAGACATGTTATGACCTGTGGGGGCTCCAAAGGACCAGTCAGGTACCCTTGGGGCTCGATTCACACTTTACATGGGTGGGAAATACATAAGAAGACTTGTAATCCTTATTATGCGGTTGTTGTGCAAAAATGCCATCATTTGCTTTCGTTGTGCTTCTCAAAGTGAACTTTATGCATTTCCCACGTTAGCAGTGGCGAAGCCAGCACACCATCTGAGACTGTCATTTCTGTCTGATCACGGCCCAGTTAGTTCTGAAGTCTTTGCAGCTCGTCTCACACTTGCCCTTGGATACCAGAGCTGTTTTTGTGTTTTGTCATTTTTGTTCATATATGGCTTTATTGCCTTTAAATTAGGAATTGATTCTAAATCTGAGATGAAAAGAGAAACACACAAAATTTATGTGAGGGCAAATTATTTATTCCAATGCACTATTTGCCGACCATCACCATATGATACACATCGGAAATAAACGACTGCTAAGACAAGGGCCTCACCCTCAAGACCACGAATGGCTGTGTAAATGGCTACACGACGTGGAAACGACAGTGCAAGGTACCGGGGAGGATGCAGTTAGAGATGGGCATAGTGGGGCGAGGGTAGGATGGATGTTCGGGTGCTTCTAAGACTTGAGGAGCAGTCAGTCTGGGTGGGAGTTTTTCTGAGTCTCAACAGGACTCGCACACCCGGAGTGTGTCAGTGGGGGGACCGGCACGTGCACATGCATGGCAAGTGTGAGACAGCCTGGCTTGTTCAGAGAATGCTGAGTCACTTAGTCTTGTGCAATGAGTGGGAGGTGAGGAACCCATCCCCAAGGGCCGCGGATGCCAGAACTACGGGGGGTGGGGGGTGGGTGCAGTCTGTCCTGCTTAGCGTCCTGGAGCTGGAACCGGGACGGTGCGGGGGGAGGAGGCCTGGCGGGGTCCCGGCGGAGGCGGTGTGGTCAGGGGAGACCGCGAAAGGGCCGGAGACACATTTGTCCTGAGGGTGGATTTAGGCCTGCGGCGGGGGGGGAGGGGGGGGGTTGGTCCAGCCAGGCGGAAGGAAACGCCCCCTCCGACTAGACCACGCCCCTTCGGCTAGGGCACGCCCCCTCAACGAGACCACACCCGCGGGTAGACCACGCCCCTCAGGTTAGGCCACGCCCCTCGCTCCCCCGCCGGTCGGTCGCCGGCTCGCGCGCCGCTGTGGGGCCTCCGCACCGGCAGGGGGCGGCAGACCGGCCGCCGCGCTTCCCACGCACGCCCCGCGCGCGGCTGCTTCCGGGGCAGAGGTCAGCCGCGGCGCCGCGCGACCATGGTGCAGCTCCGGCCGCGGGCCTCGCGCGCCCCGGCGTCGGCGTCCGCGATGGTGGACGAGGGCCAGCCCCCGTCGGAGGAGGCGGCGGAGCACGGCCTGCTGCTCGGGCAGCCCAGCAGCGGCGCGGCCGCCGAGCCGCTGGAGGACGAGGACGGCGACGGGGACGAGGGCTCCGACGACGACGCCCCGGAGGAGCTGACCTTCGCCAGCGCCCAGGCCGGCGCGCGGGAGGAGGAGAAGCGCGTGCGGGAGACGCTGCGCAGGTTCGGCCCCGCGCCGGCGGGACGCGGCCCCCCTGTACCCCCCGATCCCCCAGCCCCCCGCTGACGCGGGCGTCCCGCTCCCCCGCAGGGACCGGGCCCTCCTGAAGGAGAAGAGGAAGCGGCGCGAGGAGCTGTTCATCGAGCAGAAGGTTCGCCCCCTCGGGCCTCGCTGCAGCTGGCTCGGGGCGAAGCCCCGGCTCTGCCGAGGGGCGGCGGGGATGCGGCCGCAGAGGGCGGGGCCCGGGTGGCTCCGCGGCAGCCTCTGGCCTCGCGAGGGGCTTCTCCGCCGCAGGTTGCGGGAGAGTTGGACCACGCCTGCCCGGCGCGGGTGTGGCCGCAGAGGGACCCGTCCCGTGGGCCGGGCTGAGCCCCTTCAACCTGAAACCCGGGCGCGGGGGCGGGGGTCCAGCGGGCACCCTGCATCGGCCGGATTCAGGTTCTTGCCCAGACCCAGGGCCGCCCTTGAAATCTGTAACTTCAGAAGCAACCCGGGGCTCATTGTCATGTTCCTCACTTACTGTTGGTTTTTAAAATCTGTTTAAGAAAAGGAAGCTCCTTCCAGATACTATTCTAGAGAAGTTAACAGCTTCGCAGACCAAGTAAGTAACGGATCTTGTATTATTTACACGCACCCCTCTTTGAACTACGGCTAGAAACATTGGAAGCCACGTAACTGAGGAAATGATAAGCCCAAATTAAGAAATGACACAGTAGATTTCAGGATTTGGTGGGAAATGTGGAGGGAATTCCTGCAGATGACGCTCGCTTCGGGCTTCCCAGCCCGCGTCTATGTAGTAAGCTGTGCAGCGGTTGCACCGCGCAGATGCTGCCGAGTAGGTGTTTTGAAATTTACAACTAAGGCAAACAGCAGCCACTTACCCACAAGCTCATAAAGCTCAACCTGTCCCACACTTACCTGCCACCAACCTGTTCCTCCTCCTCTGCCCCCATTTCATTTCGCAGCTTTGCCATTCACTGTTTACAGCCAAATGCTCTTCTTCTGTCCCAAAGAAATAAATACAATTAAATTTCAACTAATAAATATTTGGAGTCTCCCCCCCCCTTAATGCTTTTATTTCAAAAGTTCATTTACTTAGTCCAGTGATTCTCAAATTTTCTGTAAAAGGACTTTTCTGAAAGTCCTCGGTCCTGAATACAGTAAACACAAACGTTTATTTGGTGGCAGAGTTCCTTTTCCCCTTTCATCTTTTCAAATCAACCTTAAATGCCACCTCTTCATTCTTTTAACTTCATTCATTCACTCATTACTATAGCTTTTCTGTGCTTCTGTATTAAGCATCTCATTTTTTTTTTTTCCAGTTTATTTTTGTCTGTCAGACCATACTTACTGAGGCTAGAGTCTTTGTGTCCATCATTATGTCTCGTGCAAACTGTGGAATTAATCCTTTGTGATTTCTCCAAATAAACTGAGGCAGGCCTACCACCCTTTCCTTTGCATTTTGGATACTCCATTATATATAACTCATCCTTAAATCACTTTTTAACTCTGTTAACCATAATAATCTGCTTTCAGAAGCCTGTTACTATGCACTCAGATTTTCAGATCTGAGATACTTGCCTCCCGTATATACTAGCTTGTTGACTGGGAGCTTGATGGCAGTGCATTCACTGGGCAAGTGGCTTCCTTTGTAAAAAAGCCTGCTAGATACAAGTTGATATTTGTCATTACAGTTAAGTGGTTTTTTTGTTTGTTTTCTTTCATAGCATAAAGAAATCACCAGGAAAACGCAAAGAAGGTATGAGCTATTTTGATTTAAATAACTTCTCACTTCCGGTGTCAAGTGCCTCTTTAGATGTTTGCATTTAAATGTTATTGGCCCGCAGAAAAAGCACAGACACAGACAGAACTGACCAAGTTTAGCTTGGACTTGTTCCCTATGTGTTACTACAAACAAAAATTGAATCTAAATTGGTATGTAATAAAGATTTAAAGGGAACTGCAATAAATGTTGATTTATTTTTGCCTAAATGCTAAATAAGATATAATTCCTTTTTTAGTTGATTTGCAAAAGAAAAACGAATGTGATAAAGGAAGCGACTCCAAGAAAACTAAAGTGCAAAAAGTACAGTCTGTTGGGTAAGGGTTGTCTTCTTTTCATATAGGATATAAAGGTGACCTTTTGAGTATTTATGTGGAAAAAATATAAGCAGTTTCAGATAGAACCCTGTAGAAAAATCAATTTTGGTATTTATATTAAAGCATTTGTTACACTTAAATGTGAGTTTTAGGCTGTTTCTTAATAAATAGCCCTGTAAGTTAGCTTTATTCATTATCTACTTTTACAAAATTAGGATTTTTTTTTTTTTTTTTTTGCTATTTGAGACAATAAACAAAAATAGTTTGAAAATGCCTAGACATGTCATTAATAACTTCATTCGCTTTGACTTTTTGTATTGTTCATCAGCCAGAATAAAAGCTACTTGGCTGTAAGGCTAAAAGATCAAGATCTAAGAGATTCAAGGAAAGAGGCAGCCAAAGCCTTCATACAGAATTCTTTATATGGTCCAGGAACCAACAGAACTACAGGTACTTCCTTATAGGCGTCTTCTTCTCACTTTTTGTTGTGAATAAGACCAAGAAAGAATAAGTAATTCTCTTTTCTAGTAAACAAGTTCCTGTCTCTTGAAAACAAGAGGTTACCAGTGAAAAAAGCTGCAGCCCAATTTTTAAATAATGCTTGGGGTAAGAGCCATCTACAGTCTCTTGACTTTGTAGTTTTATGTATGTACTGAATAATGTTCTTTTTAAAAAGAGATAATTACTCAAATAGTTATGACAGATCATTTTTATATTTTTTTAGAAATTGTTTTTGAATAGGTCGGCATAGTATATGTATCTAATGTACACTCTAATTCAGTCAACCTAATAATTAAATTCAAAATTGTGTAACAAGTAATCTTTACTGACATTCCAGTTACGTTTTGAATTTTTTGCTGGGAATTCTGTAAATAACACTACACAAAACTTTCTGTTCTAGGAACCCAGAAAAAACAAAATGCCAAGAGGTTTAAGAGACGGTGGATGTTCAGAAAGATGAAAACTTCTAAGAAGTAAATCGAAGCTAAATGTATATAAAGAGCTTGTTATTCACAGGGTTCATTTTTATGAGAGGAAAAAACCTAATAAATCATTCCTAAATCATCCTAAGTGTCATCACAAAAATCGTGAATCTATACTGAAAGGAGGGCCCGGTCACATTTTGTGCTTCTGGAGCATGGCCATGCCTTGTCTGTGAGAGCTCTGGAACAAAAACAGATTCAAACAAATTTTTTCCTTTCTTTTGTATTTATGTAATGGACACAAACAATAACCCCATAACAGTAGTAGTGTTTCTTGTATCCCTCCCTGCCACAGCCCCCATGGGTATGTGGCAGGAATGGCAGGAAAAAAGTAACATCCAGAAAAAGTCTTAACTGTGTTCTCCAATGCCTTAGTCACTCGGATGTTTTGGTGCTATTGGTGAGACTGTTTTTCAGAATGTGGTACAAGAAGTAACTGGAACAGTACGATTATCTAAAGTTCAAGTCTTTGTGTACAAAATACAGTCAATGCCACATTTGCCAAGCCAAAGGATACAGTTAGCCAGCTTTGTTCTTTTAAAGTGAGACTGGAGGTTTGCTTCACTGGCAGAGTCACGTGAAAATTTCACGTAAAGATTATTTCTTTGTCTTTCATCCACAACATCAGGTTTGACCCCAATCCAGGAAGGCCAGTACCCTGAAGGCAGTCTTAGGCTGTGGACTCATTTATGCACTCACCTAATATAGAAACTCAATTGAGACTCCAGTATCTGTAGAAGTAAATTTTTAATGGCTGGTTAATTATATCACTACATTTTTATTGCAATATAGTACTCATTTAAGCACTTAAAAATGGAAGGTGTACAAAGATTAAATTAAGACACGGTAAATTGACTAAATATTTGGTTTTTATATAAATAAAGGTCATAACCACACTGTTGACATTTAATACTGTTATAATACAACAGTTAAACTTGTGAGTCTACAACAGAAGTCCTCTGTAGTTAAACAGGAAACAAAGTTGAAAAAGACCATGTTAAAACAAAACTACTGGGACTAACAGGTCGGGATTGTAAGTAGCAACAAACATATTCACTCAGCTCCTGAGTATTTCAAGTTTTACAGTACACATTAAAAATGATTTCTTCCATCAACACTATAAATTCAAACTGTCGGATGTTTATGCATTTTGCAAGTTACACTGATTGGATGCTTAGATGGGAGCAGGGGTCCGAACATCTCCCAATTTGAAGTTTACATCACCCACATGCTAACACAAACACAACTTGTTCCACTTCCTTCCCCTCTCTCCCCCCAACAAAGGCGGCAGGATTTTTTGGTTTCTTTTAGGTAATTGTTTTAAAGGATTTGTGATGATCAATTTGAACGTCTGAAATTCAGTAATATTTAACTCTTAGACAACTAAGAGGTTAAAGATGGAAAATAATTTCTCCTAACACTAAGTTAGAAAATCATTTGCATCATGCTGTAAACTAGGAAGCAATGTAAAGCGACAAAAACCTGTCCCCAGTACATAATTAAAAAAAATCTAAATTTCAAATCAGCAGAGCTGGTCTACTTCCATGTTGACTATATGCCACAATATAAGTGTGAGCTCCTTAGATGCATAGCTAATGTAGATAGTCTTCCACTGTGGCAAATGCACAGGATCCAATTCCTGATCGAGCCATCAGTCCTAGACATTGTGTGGCCTGTCCCATTGCTAGGGCAAGTGGAGGTTGCTTTGGCAGATTGTGGGTTTCTGAGGAAAAATAATTAAAAATGGAAAAAGCAGTTAGCAAGGCATTAAAAGAACAATTAGGAAAATAATGCATTACTTACAAAATTACCAGTGCCTATACTACTCTTAAACACCTAACAAATGATCAATGTTTTGGAGCTACTACTCTGACAAGGTAATACGGGTGCTGGATATTCAACTTCAAGAAATACGCTTGTAGAATTAGGCTTTTAAAGTATTACTCAAGAACTTTTCTGTATTAGCTAAGATGGGAAAAATTCAGACCCTTATCTGATTATTTGTAGGGGGGAATAAGGAATGCTTAGTACTTCTCTTCTATTTGAGCAATGTCAGTTGACATTGAGGGAAAAAGTACCAGGTTGTCAGTGATTATTTCACTGATGGATTCTTTCCTTTCTGGGGACAGGACCCAATGAAGCTAATCATTCCATGGTATGCTGGTATTACTTGGGTTGGTTGGGAGAAAAAACACGTATAATTTCAGAGGGGTTAATTCCTAATTCGTAGGTGAAAAATTTTAAAAATTGCAAGATTTAAGTTTTCATGGTCCTACATACTAGAAATTTCTTTCTCAGACATTCGCATTACCAAAATTTGTTTTTAGCAGAGTTGAAAAATGAGTTATATGGTCAAAGTAGCCAAATTTATAGATGCTGGTAACTTCTTGCATGGAGATGTGCACATTTTAAGTTTATGTAGATTCCCGACTAATAAAACTACTAATCAACCTTTCATAAGCATAGCTGACAACAAAGGCTGATAAGGCTCAGTTTCTACTCTTGGTTACCAGGATGTACTGTGGTGGGAAGCTGCTGGGGAGGATGAAACAAAAATAAAAAGGGAGCAGGTTCTCTTGAAGGTACAAGAGAAAATAAATTGGGATAAATAACATTAAGGAAAAAGTATGCAAGGAAAGGCAAAAAGACCTGAGAAAGTGTGGTTTGAAAAGTGGCCTGTGGGTTATGGTTATTCAAGTACTGCCTGTTCTTTGGCAAAGCAGTATTTAGCTGAATTTTGGTGTTGACAGAACATTTTTTTCCAACTCTAAGCAGTTGATAGTTTATTCTGTTAACTTGAATCGATTTAATTTTTAGACAAAATCATATGATAACAGGGAATAAACACTGAAAAAGGAAACATCCTTTCAAGGATGTCTCTCGAAGGTTCCCAGGGAAGTAACCCTGCTCTGAGGCAAGCATCCAGGGGTCTTTACAATTTTATTTTAGCCAAGGGAGGCATCTACTTGTGAGCATCTTTAAGTTTTTTTGAAACAAGGAATCTGTAATAATTGTATACAATTAAATAGCAACTTGAAGCATAATATACAGATGAAACTATAAAATACAGCCCAGAATAAATATGCACAATACCCACTGCAATTTCATGATTCTGGAGGCATTACATTTAGTTAACGTAGTAAGTTGAAGCACTATCCATAGCTGAGCCTACGTGATATATGGCACAATGTGTAAGAATATATATACCTTGGAGATGATCCTAAGTAACTTAATTAAAAATTTAATTCCCTCGAAGGATCCAAGATACAAAAGTGGTCCTAAGAAAACTGATCCCATTTCTTTAAAAATTCTTTCCAAGTCTGAGTTACCTAAACACGAAGCAATTAGGGCTTCACGATTACCTATCATTTCAAAAAGATTACATGTATTTTCAAAAAGATTAAAAAATTGTAAATCATAATTTGTTCCACAATCCCAGTATTGCTACTTAGTTCTCTGACTTTTGCCATTAGAGTTAAATGATTGTATAATCAGGGAAAATAACACATTTACCAAAGAAAATTTGCAGTACTTACTATACACAAATTCTAAACTTAATACTCTAACACCAGATACTACTATTTTAGAACTTCAGTATTAGAACTTTATTACATGATGAGTTTAACATGGATTTTCTGAATACAAAGAAAGAGAGTAAGGCACAAATAGGCGTACTTTTAATTGCTTCCTTACGTGAAGTTCCAGCCCTGTGAGCCCTTTCCTTCCTGAACATCCTCTCAGCTCTCTGTGCGGCACTGCTCGCGTCTAGCTGAAACAGCCCGAAACATACTGCTAAAAGTCCCCGTATCTAATGGTCAGACAGCACACCAGGGACTTCTAAACAGGAGTCCCATTTTACCTCTAGAATTTCACTGTACAATCAAGTGAAAAATCACATCTATCTAAATTACTTTTGAAAAGAATTGCCCAGAACTTAAAAGTTTTATGTAAACAACTAACTTGATAGTTTATATACAAATGCACACAGTGAACAGTGACAGAATTCACAGTGAAAGTGTATTTGTTTTGTAAGCAAATACTTTCATGATATTTTAGTGAGCAGCCAAAGGAATGGCCACCAAGCAGAGGAACAGCAAATTCCAGTTCCTTACTTTACGCTCACCCGTGGCTAAGCCCATTTAAAGTGCTGCTCTCCAGCCATCCTTTGTATCTGGCAAAGGCTTGAGTTTTTACGCAACGTCAGGAGGTGGTGCCGACAGGGCACTCGCAAGTCACCTCGCAGTGCCACATGCCTCATCTTACATGGCGAGAGCTGGGACAGAGACGGCTCAGGCCAGAAACACTTACCGCACATCCACACACAACTTGTTTTCCAGCCATCCTAAGATGCAACCTAAAGTACGGTTTTGTCTCCATCTGAATCCATTTGATTGAGAATTGCAATAAATGAAGTTTTCTACACTTCAAGGTAATTTTAAAAATGTAGACACCATTTTTCTTGTAATTGTAATACAATTACCAGCACAAATAACCACCTCAAATAGCGGAGAATCTAATGGAAGGTGTGTGTCTGTCTTCACTTACCTAATATTGCACTGTTTAGAGCTGAGCACACAGGTTCTCTCTGAATTGGGTCAAGTTGATTTCCAACTGGGCTGTTCCAAGGATCTGAATAAGCTAGTAAACTGAATGCATCCTGTTGAAAACAATTTGATTTTACATTGAAACAGTTCACAGTGCTCATCTTGGTTATAAGCTGAGAAGTAAAATAGCCTTTAAGGCACTAGACTAATTTAAACCATTTATCCCTATGACGATGAGGCTATGTATGTTTTAATAGCTAGAATATGCAGCAAAGCCTACATTCTCAATAGTCTTCCCCGATTCCTGCATATGTTAATAACATATACAGAATAGTTCCCACCCATCCCCCCATAAAGAAGATGTAACTCCTGTGGAAGGCTGGGCTAATTAAGGAAAAGAGGAAGACAGAATATTCAGATGCTTTACTTTACAATTTATCTCCTATCAGAGACATGAATTTGACATTATAAACACAGGGCCTGCCTATATATTTTCTAAAACAGATGTGGGAACTGGGTAAATTGTACATCACTGGACATCATCTTCTTGAACTCAGTTCCCTTCAGGAACATTCCATGGCTCCAACCATTCTCAACACCTTTGTTAAAGTAACTGACACACAATCTTTCTTTGAAATAACTTTTTGCCTTCCTTCTCTGAGAGGTGCATAGGATAGTGGTTTCAGGCACTGGCTTCATGTTCAAACTGCATTACTAGCTGGCAAGTGGCCTCTGGCAAGTATCAACCTCTCTGTCAGCTTCATCGTTTGTTATAATGGCATCATAATAAAGCCAATTATTTCAGGGTAATAAGAGGACTGAGCTAAGGGAAGTCAGTGATGTGACAGAAGACAGTAAATGTCCTACCATTTTGTCAAAAGTCAATGTCCCACTTCAGAGTAATGAGAGAGAAAAACAGACACAGGGCACCTTCCTAACTCCAAAGACATCATGGAGGGGTGATGAGGAAACTAAATTAGTGAATTCAAAATTACTAAAGTATGGAAGATGGAATTCCTAAGGAATACTACCTCCCTGGTAAGGCTGCTCACATTCCTCTAGTCATCTATCTTACTAGTGTTCTGAAAGCAGAAGTGGAAGACAAGCTTCCTGCTCAGTTGTAACCTTGCCCTTTCTCAAATCTGCCTCTATATCTTGACAATTACAAAGGAAGTGCCCATTAAAGCAGAACTGTGCAGCTAGTCCGAGGCTCCAGGGATTATATATGCCCCTACACAAATATATAGTTCCCCATTGTCTTACACTGCTGAGTATTTCATGCACATTAGACTTCTTCCCTCAATTATTATAATGAAAGCTGTTTGAAGA